GGGGGGGGGGGGGCTCAAACCCTTCCAAATTCATAGGAAACCTCATTTCTCTATGAATTTTACTGGGGAAAAAACGTTGATCAAAGACACAATAAAATAAAAGATTGCCGTTTCAAAGGGCTCTCAAGCGTTGGATGTCACCAAACTTTGGCGAGCTATCACTCACTAGTTTTACTTCTGAAACCAAGCGACCCCACCTCCTTTACTTTCACATATTCCCACTCTTATGCAAGATAGATGGACATTTTTTCCCGTAAAAGCAAAACAATGAATACGCTTTAAAACGTTACTTGGGCGATTGGGGGGTACCACTGGTAGGCCCTACCTCTTTTCTTTCGCTCTGTTAATTCTTTCTTTCTGTCTGTCTGTCTTGCTTCTTACGTGCACTAATTGATCATCTAAGATGATATCAATAGCTACATAACATGCCCACAAATTGACGAGCGCATGATTCCACCGTGACGCGACAGCCAGGTGTAAAGACACACCTGTGTTGCGCAGCAGTGACTGTCTATGATGCCGCGATGGCTCACAGTGGCGCTATGGCATTCACGTGTCACATCTGTGGCGTCACGTGTGAGCAATGTCCCAACGCCCACGTCTATCTCGTTCGTACCACACAATACAATGATGGCCACGCCCTTGTACATAATAAAACAAAACAACACTAATAGGAAAAAAACTGACGGAAAAAGTATAAAAAAACTAACGTTTAAATGAAGTGTTCTGTCTATTAGAATGTGATAAGTGGATGATGATTTGTTTTGGGGAGTTTTGGGTGGGGAAAGGGGGGAGCGGCGGGGAAGGGGGGGGGGGTAAGTTGAAAATAGTTTGTTAGAAGTTTTTCCGCTCAAAAACAGTCGATGAACAAATAATATAGGCTATTATAATGATTGTCGGAGCCCTGGTCCCAAATACTACAAGGCAGGAGAGGGGGAACGAAAAAGGGCAGAAGAAGTTTTAAAGAATGTCAGATGCGTGTGTTTGTGTGTGTTTATGTGTGTTTGTGTGTGCGTTTTTGTTTGTTGTGTCTGAGCTTGTGTGTTGTGTTGTGTGTGAGAGAGCATGTGTGTGTGTATAATTATGTGTGTGTGTGCGCACGTGTTTGTGTATGTACGTGTGTGTGTGTGTGTGTGTGTGTGTG